TTGAGAAGAAGTCAAAAATGTGAAAAGTTTACAGACGGACGGACAGACAGACAGACAGACGGACGGACGGACGACGGACAAAATGTGATCAGAAAAGCTCACTTGAGCCTTCGGCTCAGGTGAGCTAAAAATGTTACTGATATTGAAGATGTACGAAGAACATAAAATTAAATAACATTTGTTGAATCAATAACATGGGGAGGGGTGTTAAACAAGGGAATCTCAGTCTCACTCACTCTCTCATATTAAGTCTATGTACTTCCCAATACTAAATAATAGAAAAATATATACGCGTATTCTATACTTTCACTTTTCAAAGAATACAACAGCAAACATCATATAAGTACTTACCAGGGACCTATACACTAACCCTGTACTTACTTTTTTTTTATTTAAATTAGAAATGTTTTCTTTTATTAACATACGTTTACGATCTACGATTTGTTAGTGAAACGGTCGCCTGTACTGTCTTTTTGTGATTATTGCTTACAAATAGAATTTAAAAAAATGTCAATACATATTCGGAAGGAAAAAAATGACGATAGAAATGGCATAACCCATCGATTCCTAATTGTTGGAAAATATGAATCGATGATTTTTGGCAATTCCTTGTATCGTTACTTATTATAACCACACACAAAGAAATAATGAAAAAAATATTCACTAAACTAATTTCAAACAAAAATAAGAGCAAATACTATAGTCATAGTTAATTTAATATTCACAAAATCCCTAAAAATTAATGGAAAAAACACTAAAAATCCTCATCGTGTTTCCACCGTATTTTATGCATTCAAAATGGCCGGTACATGTTGTGACGTCACAGCGGTTAAGGCCCGAAAACCGAGCGTTTCAGAAAATCGCTCAGGTGTGAGATAGGGTTTTTCCCCAATAGCTTCGTTAGTTGTGCATAGATTTCGGTGCGGTTTTTTTCTTTAGTTTTATTTTAGCATGATCTACAACATATTTAAAAATAAAAAGCCACTGCAGGTACCCTTTAAAAAATGTTGTCAAGGGCAATAACTCCTTCTCATGTATCTTCATTCAGGGATTTTCTCTATTGTATTTCTAATGTTAAAAAAAATATTCCCTGATATTCACAATTCAAATACATGTATATTTATAAATGAGCAAATATTTTTGAATTTTTAACATCAGAATAATTATTTGAACCAGTTTTTACATGATGTTATTTTACAATTTATTAAAAATGTTGGATTTTTCATACTGACATATACTTCTTTTTTTTTTTTTTTTTTTTTTTTTTTTTTACATCAGAAAAAAAAACTTTGGAAACCTATACATTTTTTGCAATACCATGTTCCTTAAAAATAAATTGTGAGGGTGGAAATACCTTAAAGGTAGTTCTGATTTGCTGAACATCTAAATTCGAGTGCAGTATCTGTAAAGCCATCAGAGAGGTTTCGCAAACCAACGTGTACTTGAAATCTGTACAATACGTCATCACTTTTGCTAATGCTGAAATTCTACACGTATCCACGTAGATCGCCGAGTATCCGTAAATGCAGACTTGTAGCATATATTTTCTTAACTGCTTTTTATTTTAATCAAAAGGTTGTTTTTTTTTTCTAAAACCTATAGTACTGATCTTAGGAACTTTATGTTTTTATAGCAAATAATTATTTAGCTTCTTATTATAAGCTTCGTAAGATATTGCGCGGAAAAGAAAGTGTTAAGACCGAGAACATTTATGAATTTATGACCTTCACCTTTGACCACAAAATCGATAAGCATCTTTCTTAGGCCACAGGGAGTTGCTGTGAAAGTTCATTGCAAAAGCTCAAAGGCTTCTCGAGATATCGCATGGAAACAAAAGTGTTACAGACAGACAGAAATACAGACGGACGGACGGACAGATAGACCGAAATTAATATCCCCCTCTCAGTGAAAGCGGGGGACAATTAATATCCCCCAGTTGAACAAATATGAAAAGGAAGAAGAATGTGTAACAAATTAATTGATGTATGCAGATTCCATGTTTCCTTATGCTTTAGATAAATAATCAGGCCAAGTTTAAGCGAGGTGAGGCAGACAACGAGAAAAGAGTTGCAAGCCTTCTCTCTTTATATGTATCGGTCTAAAACAATATATTTAAAAACATTTTATAGAGACAAAAGGGTAACATTATCGATAAAATATAGTGCATATTATAGAATACAAAAATAGAAAAAAGGTGACTCGGCTCCAGATTTAAGAAGAAAAAAATGGAAAGGGGGGCATACCCAAGTGCCTGTGTAAACAAGAGGCCCATGGGCCACATCGCTCACCTGAGTAACTTTGGCCATGCTGTTCTTTACCAGATTCCCCCCCCCCTTGTAATACCTATTGTGGCCCCTCCCTACCCCGGGGGGTCCTGTTTGAACAATTTAGAATCTATACTACCAAAGGATGCTTCCACATACGTTTCAGCTTTTCTGGCCCAGTGGTTCTTCAGAAGAAGATTTTTAAAGATTTTTCCTATATATTTCAATGTAAAACTTGGATTCCCTATTGTGGCCCCGCCCTACCCCCGGGGGTCATGATTTTAACAATTTAGAATCTACACTACCAAAGGATGCTTCCACATAAGTTTCAGCTTTTCTGGCCCAGTGGTTCTTGAGAAGAAGATTTTTAAAGATTTTTCCTATATATTTCAATGTAAAACTTGGATTCCCTATTGTGGCCCCGCCCTACCCCTGGGGGTCATGATTTTAACAATTTAGAATCTACACTATCCCAGGATGCTTCCATATAAGTTTCAGCTTTTCTGGCCCAGTGGTTCTTGAGAAGAAGATTTTTGAAGATTTATTCCTCTATATGTCAATGTAAAACTTGGATTCTCTATTGTGGCCCCGCCCTACCTCCGGGGATCATGATTTTAACAATTTAGAATCTACACTATCCTAGGATGCTTCCATATAAGTTTCAGCTTTTCTGGCCCAGTGGTTCTTGAGAAGAAGATTTTTAAAGATTTTTCCTATATATTTCATCGTAAAACTTGGATTCCCTATTGTGGCCCCGCCCTACCCCCGGGGGTCATGATTTGAATAATTTAGAATCTACACTACCCCAGGATGCTTCCATATAAGTTTCAGCTTTACTGGCCCTGTGGTTCTTGAGAAGAAGATTTTTTAATGACCCCACCCTATTTTTTTCTTCTCTTGATTATCTCCCCTTGTGAGGGGACTTGGCCCTTCATTTTAACAATTTAAATTCCCCTTCATCCAAGGCTGCTTTGTACCAAGTTTGGTCAAAATTGGCCCAGTGGTTCTTGAGAAGAAGTCAAAAATGTGAAAAGTTTACAGACGGACGGACAGACAGACAGACGGACGGACGGACGACGGACAAAATGTGATCAGAAAAGCTCACTTGAGCCTTCGGCTCAGGTGAGCTAAAAATGGCATCCCATTCGACTACGACACCAAAAGCACAATTCTTTGAACTTGCTTGTTTTAACTTGTATTGTTAACGTACATGTATAAGTACACGTTTGTTAACGAAGCCTCTCTAATCTAAAACGTGAAACCTAAACTCTCCAGTTTCTCCACCAGACATACACGATGGAAAACCACCGATGTTCTTTCTCTCGCAAATGAACCCAGGCGTTTGCCCATCGTGGATTTCTGATAGAGTTTTTTATTTGAAGAATAAGTCCGCTATTACGCCCAGCTATTCTGATAAGTCTTCTAACGCTTATTTGACGGGGGACACTTTGGATTATGTCGGGTGAGATATAAATCTCTGGCAAAGGAATTCCTTTGATAATATTGCAAAATAATCTGCAAACCCGCATTAGATAATACCTTGTACTCGGATCTTCATTTGTTAAATATTGTAGAATTGATGTCCATATTTCAATAGGAAGACCATAATTTTCGTCGGTATGAACATTCTCAACCTCTCCTTGTATAAATCGTCCGTCCTCAGTCGCTCCTCCAGTATTACAGTACACATCTTCGTGAAATTCTTCTAGTGACCCTCTTTCGGTTACTGGCCCAACCTCGGTATCTCTTCCTGCAAGTGACTGTCTTTCTGTTACTGGCCCAACCTCGGTATCTCTTCCTGCAAGTGACTGTCTTTCTGTTACTGGCCCAACTTCGGTATCTCTTCCTGCAGGTGACTCTTTTTCTGTTACTGTCCTAACCTCGATATCTCTTCCAGCATTACCTGACACATCTTCGTGCAAAAATTTTTCTTGCATCCCCCATTCTGTTGTTGGTATATCCTCCTGTTCTGACCACAGACTTCCAGAAAGTCTTTCCACATCGTCAGATGGGACTTCATCTACGTTTTGCAACTCTTCTTCTCTGTTGTGTTCATCGTTCTCTTCTGGGAACTCTTCTTCAAAATTATTTGCTTCATCATCTTCATTTTCAGCTACACAACTACTTTCTTCAATTATTTGACAAAGGGTTTCCTTCTCAATATCAATACTGACATAATGATGTTCAGGAAAATGTCCTAAAGTTAAGGTTTGTCGGTTGGTTTCAATATGGTTATCATTTGAAACGATAACAGTATGGTCTAACCCAGCACTCGAGATAATAACAAATTGAACACTGTATTCACGTGCAAGCGCAATAAGAGTCAAATGATCCCCATATTCCCATGGACTTTTCATTTTTTCAGTGTAAGTGTCAAATGGTTCATCTAAAAACCCGTGGTAATGCTCAGGCCAATTTTCGATGTGTTGAACTGCTTCCAGTCTGAGTTGCTGTGCTGATCTAAACACACCTAAACGAAAAAGCTGATGAGCAACTGAAGAGAACTGGCAGTTGCTACAGTCAGTAGGATTTTCCAGAACTTTAATGGTATTGTCTCGAAATATGTCCAATTCTTTCATCTTATCATATTGGGTCTTAACAATGTAATATTTTTTCCTTGTCATTGCATTTCTGTATTTCTTTTTTCTTCTTTTTTCTTCTTTTTCTTTTGTAAGGCTTGTGATGTTCGAAACATCAACCCAACATTCTTCTTTGTTCCCATCCTGATTTCTATAACTAACTTTGTACTGGTTCGAATTTAATTTTCTTTGCATCATTTTTCCTTTGAAAATATATATCCTTCTTGGAACGCGAGATGAGAATGGGTATCTGAAAAAAATATGTTCTCCTTTCTCCTTGCCTGAGCTCACGCCGTTGTTTTCGCCTGTTACATCTTTCTGATGCCTTGCGAACTTTTTGGAGCAGGTCTTTATTTTGACGGGAGGTGTAAACCTCAGATGGCGTCAAATAGCCTAAGACTTCCTTCGGGTTTTCATTAATTGCGAACTGAACTTTGTGTAGCTCAGCTGCCCAATTAAATCCACGTCTTTTTGTCTTCAAGAAAGCGATTTTGTTTCGGACAACACGATGACTACGTTCGCACTTTCCTTGGGATTGCGGGTGGTAAGGTCGGCTTCTGATCAACTTAATTTTGTTTCTATGTAACATTCTTTCAAATCTTCCCTTAAATTCAGTACCTTGATCACACTGTAAAATCGAAGGCTTTCCATGCTCCGAAAATACTCTCTCCAATTCAATGGCAATTTGTCTGCTTGTTTTTCGCTTTAATGGTCTTAAAATCAAAAACCGAGAGAAAACGTCTAAAATGGATAATATGTAGCGATATGTTTGACAATTACTTTTAATAACATCGTTCTTCATGTCAATCAGATCTATTTGCCATCTCTCATTTACACGATCTGCTGTGATAGCCTTGTTTAGTGGTCTATTACTGAAGTTTGGGAAAAATTTTTGGTACCTCTTTGATTTGTTATACTCTCGGAGAATTTTCCTCTCGGACACAGCACTATATTCTTTGCTCAAGTTTACATAAAGTGGTCTTGCTCCACAACCACTTGCTGAATCAAAAGCTTTCTTAACAACTGAGTTAAGTTTAGATTTGTGTAAAACCCTTTTCCCATCAAATCTTAATTCCCCGTCTTCTACAGAGAAACTGTTCTTGTTTCGCCAATATTTGAGAGCTGCATTTTTCTGCCTCCTGGTTCTGTCTTTGCATTTTATCCTAAAAGTACCGAGGACTAGCTTCATGATTGTATCATATTCTTCTTCGTCAAGTAAATGGTGGTATTTTCTTTTCATTATGTTTAATGTATTTTACTGGTCCCTTTAGTTAAAATAAAACAAACTATATTAATAATTCGATTTAAAAACATACAATCAGCTACAAGACATTCCTATTGTAGCTATTTTTTTGTTTTCTGAAGAGATCGTTATAACAGTTCTTAAGGTTATCCGCTCCTTAGCTAGGAAGAATAACTCTTACAATCAATATTCAAATTAAGCTTAAAATTGATTTTTTTTTTAATAACAATTTTCATTTTATGCATCTCAGTATGATTAAAGAGTCTTTGTAGACTAAAATTTGACATTTGAAGTACAAAATTAAATGCATTTTTATAAAAATCAAAATTTCTTTAATCTAGCCCTAGAGACCAATGTTTACTAGCATTGTATGAAATTAAATGGGGTCTGTGATGTCTTACAATGATAGTACAAACATTTTACACTATTTTTAAAAATAATAATTGCATTAAATATAATTTAAATTAAATTTTTTAAAAATATAATTTTTATCGTAAAATATATTTGTTGATCGATTCCTAATTAGAAAATGCCTGGTGAGTACTTTGATTCGCATTTCCTCAGTTCCTGAAAATATATTTGGGATTTGTCAATTGATATTTTTCCCTATATAATCTATACTTATAAATCAATAAATTTTGCAAATAAACTCCAAAACGGCTATGATTAACTTAAAGAGCTTTGAAAAAATATCATGGGTAAATACCCATTTTTCTGAGAATTCATAGACATTTTGTGAGTACTTTGAAATACCTAAATTCTGATTTTTAAGACCTGAGGATCGGACTACCTTAAGTCGACTTTAGCCATCGCAGTGTTGTTCAATGACGATATAAACAAGGTTAGCAACATTATCCTTAAATCATCCCCTCTCTCTTCAAGTTTTGTCTTTAAGTTTATCTCTCTATTAATGTTTAAACGATTGTATTTGTATGAAGGTAACGGAAGACGTGTTTGTTAATATTCATATTATACATCATTGATTGTACATTGTTAATGATTATTATGAGAGAGAGAGAGAGATTTTAGATCGAATACGATTTCCTATTCAATTGTGAATTTTTGTATCGTACAAGGTGTCCCAAAATGTATGATAATTCCATTTGAAATAAGTTTCAGAAACACGTGCCTTGAACAAATTCTTTGATATATGTCTCGTACGATTTAATAAATACAATTTTAGCAACAAAACATTCTACAGAAAAAATGACTCTGTGTAACTCCATTAAAGAAGGTGGACGAAAAACACAGAGAAACATATTAAGGTTTTCAAACTATCATTATTTCATACAGGTAACAAGCACATATTTCTGTTCATATGTCTAATTCAATGTTTTATCATGTCATTATGATTGAGATGTGTCACTTTTATATCTTAAATATTAACGATTAATTTTATTTAAAAAAATACTCTGGAAATTAGTGTATTTCCACCAAAAATTTGAACCGTTGATATATATCTTTCTGAGGTCGGAGATTTCTCCGGATGCTAGAAAACGGTAATACAGTATAACTTCAAAGCTTATAACTCGAATAGCTTTCAACAAATCATAATGCAATTTTAGAAAAATAGCTTTGTTTTACATAAATATTTCTATTATTGAAGAATGGAGCTCATACGGTCCAGAAGATCAGGCGACGTCCCTAATGGATGGAGGATTACGTGGTGGATATTCCGGTGCGGACGTCCAGGGTGAAGCAGACGGTGAAGGCCGGAGATGCACTTCTGCAACCTGAGAAGATGGGACTGCCACTTCCCAAGTCTGTGCATGACTGCCACTTCCCAAGTCTGTGCATGATCTTCCTAAGGAAAAGTTTGAACAATATGTAGTGATGGTTGTGCCATCTCCTCAGTCTGTGATAGCTGATCCTCAGTCAGAAATTGTACAATAAGAGAAAGTGAAACTACCGTCCCCTCAGCCTGTTCTAGCTCTTACCTTGCCAGAACTTTAGAAGCTTGTGGAGTTGTCTCTGACATTCCCTCCCTCGATCTGTTCAGGGTCTTGTTGAGGATGAGGCTGGACTGACTGCGCAGACTGAACTGTCATCTTCTGAGGTTGTTGAGGGTCGTTCTCGGATCAAAATACAAAGTGAAACATTACTTACAAGAAATAAATATACTTTAATTAAAATTCTTATATTTAAATCAAAACACCACAATGAACATTGTATAATTCGTTCATCTGAACAGTTGATAAAATTAACATTTATCATTATAATTAATTTCATTGTTTTGGTTTTTATAGCATGTCATTATTCCGTATTTGAAGAAATAAAAAGAACACAAGATGGGTGTATTGAAATAGATGAGGACCTAAAATGTCTGAAAGAAGAAATAAGGTCGAAGACAAAAGAACCAAGTAGCTGTCCTGGTACCCAAAATTGGCGTGTAGTTACACTTAAGAATTAGAGTATGTTTGCTTCACATTGAACCATTTATAGTCTTTCTACATTGTTCGTTTGAAAGGTACTATTTTTTCATTATTTTTGATATTATTCTTTTTTTTTTTTCTTCTTTTTTTTTTTTTTTTTTTTTTTTTTACATTTTAAACATTTGAAATTAATATTGTATTTTTAAAGAAGTACTAGTATTTGTACGTATTTAATTGAGTTGGGGACAGTAGCGATAGTTGGTATCTCTACCAATACCAAGAGGACCTGGTAGACCCAGCTTTTTGGAGAAAAATCAGCGCCAATCCAGAGCAAAGAAGAACCAAAATTCTTCAAAAGGTAGATTATATTGTTCCGGCCGAGGAAAGGTGTTTAAAGTGTCCATTTAATAAAACTGTTAACGTTGCAAGGAACGCAGGGTAGCGTTTACTTCATGAATAGTAAGATAGATTTCTTTCCTTCGTTGCACATGTACTGTTTAATACGAATCATACTTTTGATTTGTACTTTTGTGCTCTATGAGATAATGGTGCTAGCATAACACATTATAATTCAGAAATTTTTAGATAGGACTTGCTATAAAAACACTCCCCTTCTAAGTGCTTAATATACAAAAAAAATAGGTGTCACGGGAAACTATTTAAAAGTGCTGGGAACGTTAGATGTAGTAATGTTTATTGATGGTATTGTGTTTGTACACTGTGCATGTCATACAAGATAGTTTTGCCTACATACTTACTTTAGACTTTTTTGAAACCCAATCATGGCACTATTGATTATGCAACTAACACCTTGAAAATAGCTGCTTAAACTAACCTGCATGTGCATCTCATTATAGCTGGCACTGGGTAAGCTAGAGCAGTTGCCAATGCCTTTATTCCCCAGGGTAGTGAAATAACAACACAAATTTGTTTATAGCGTGAAGGTATGTAATCAGATAATTTTGCGTCGCACAGTAAATCTTGTAATTTTTATATTTAATGATATCGGGGTCGAGATACAAGATATTGTCAAAATCAGAGCTTATATTTTTCTTATTTATTCTATTTCATTTTGATCATATAATTGTTGCACTTCCAATTACGGCAAATTGAGTTTCTGTTTCCCAAGTGCAAGGTCGACAAGGGCATGACGGACTTTTTAAAAATCCATTGAATAAAAGGGGTTCGGAAGAATTATCGGTCTGAGTTGCTACTGGAACTTCTTCCCTCTAGGATCCAAGCCCAACTCATTGAATAAATAAAGGGCTCGAAGAGTCGCTAGTTTTTCATTTTCAAGTTCTACAAATATCTTGGACGACATATCGCTTACAAGTGGAGATTCAAAAAAAGCAAGATTTAAATATCTACTTTCAATTCTTTTTAAAATAAAACTACCAACACTAATGTCTTTATTTTCATCAAGAGTGTATAAAAAGTGACTACTTAGGCGGTACACTGATGAAAGTGTTTTACGCGTGACCAGGCAATTGTCTTCAAATTATCAGGTAGCACAGATAGCAGGCCTGTCAATCAAATTAGCTATTTTTAAGTTTTTAACAATCGAAAGGCGGTATATAATTGATCTTCAAACAGGTAAATTTTCATTATGTTAACGTAAACTTGGGTTTTAAAACTTCACTTCGATTTAAAAAAGACCGTTCACGGTAGCTCAATCGGTAGAGCGCTCGCTCCGTGATCGGGAGGTCGCGAGTTCGAATCTCGGCCGCGACTGACCTAAGTCGATAAAAATGGGTAGCAACTGTTCCTTCGCCATGCGCTCGGCACTTTGAAGTGAATGTTGCGGGTCCTTCGGATGAGACCTTAAAACCCGGGGCCCCGTGTCACGGCAGGTGTTGGCACAATTAAGAATGGCCCTAAATGCCGAGTAAAGGTCAAAATTTGAAGCCCTTCACCGGTATATGGTGACGTCTCTATATGAGTAAAAAATTTTCGAATGGGACGTAAAACAACATACAATCAATCAAGACCTTCGAATATCAAGGAAGCAAAGATTGTAGCAATAATGATTTTTCAGGGAGGCCTGAAACTGAAAACCTTGATTTTAGAAATATTCTCTTTATGTTGACCCATATATTAATGTCAAATTAGATGGACATCAGGATGAATTGACTCCAGAGGGACTTCATCAATGTGACCTAAACCTGATTCATATATGAAGGTGACCTCAGATGCGGTGATCTACTTTTTAAGGTGAAATTAAATGGCCTTTCTAGTGTATATCCATAACCTTCCAGTCATCGATATCCAGATAACCCTAGACGGTCACGGATGACCTCAGACGGACCGATATTTCAAGGTGACCCTTATTTTACTGACCCCATTCTATACCCCTTTCTAATGGCGGCTATTGGGGGCATGAAGAATGTTTTCATGATCATGTGGAAGCGGATAGAAAAATGTCATACTATAAGAAAAGGAAAAAAAACATGATCAATATTTACTAATGTTTTCACTCTTTGTACCTAAAGAAACTGTGTCATATTGAGCGTAGACTATAGAATACTTTTAGATACCGGGTGTTAATAATTTTGCTGTCTCGGAAGACCCTGATGAGGTTTCTAGTGTACCGCTCTCCAGTTACACCCCATACAGAAACAGCTTACCATCATCTTGGCACGCAGGAAACGTGCAGTAAAATTACAACAGCACTTCTTGTAAACCATTCTAGAAGAAAGTTCTGAGAGTAATGATATTCTAGAGTACCCATAAATCGTCCCCCTACGACATTCAACGTCATAGTAACGGCGAGCGCGTGCAAATTGGTAAACAAACTTCAGTGCTGTCTATAGAACGGAAATGCTGATTAAATGTTATAAGTCATTTTTTCATATCACTCTTCACAAGATTTTTAGAGCTCTTCTACAAAATCAAACTTTTACACTTAAAAAATGTAACCATACCCTATTTTCGTCCTTCGGTGTGAATTTTGCGGGAGAAATATTACCAAAATGGGAAAACCATTTAGACCAAATTGTTGTGAATTATTCATGCTGCCAAAGACCGTTTTCAAAAACTCTAGGCCTCAAAATGCATTTAAAGACTTGTCATAAAGTTACAAACAAAAGTGGATGCGTTTGTTGAGATACAGACCGATATACTGTAGATGTAGCCAGCTTGATAGAATGATAGAATGATAATTCGAATACTTGTAGAACAATCTGACAAAAATCCTTCAAAAAATAAATAAGTTAAGTCGTTCTTCAACTCTCTCGTACAAACTTGGTAATACTGTAAGCTTCTGCCAAGTGTTGCCCACACTGATTATTTTGGCAATTCTTATTTACGGTACATAGGCAATCATCCGAGACCTATAGTTGTCGGTGTATTCGCTGAGACTATCCCTAATGGTTGATTATTCCTCTCTTTTATGGTCCGAGGAAATAGGAGAACGTTTTATAGTCACTCTTGCCACAGGTACTTGGGTCTTGGTTTATAAATATGTATGTACCTTATTGATATGATATGGGTTACCCCATATCCAAGATATTCGACTTTTAATTTATTCGAATTTTCATTGTGTTCAGATGATTTCTAATAAAAAAAAACAAGTATTTGCTGACAAAACGTCAGAGATACTCAAGCTGTAGAAAGTCAACTATAAAAGTGCCATATACATAAATATCCTAAAATGACATAATATTTAGGCTACTGAGTTTCAACATCTTTTGTTGAGTAAAATATGCATATAGTAGGAAACAAACTGCATGTACATATATAACGTTACATGCATGTAGTGACTTTATCACAAAGTTGCACATGCATAAAAATAGTTTTAATTTCACATAGAACATAAACTAAATATAATTAATCATATAATTTTAAAAATGTATTTAACGCCTCACTCATTTTCAGGAATATTTAATCCAAATAGCATGACATGTTACAGGCCTATAGCAACGTTTTCAAAGTGATGGGGGGGGGGGGGGGAGAGACTCCCAAAAAATCCCGCGTACTATGGGCCTGTGCTACATGTGTACCATCTAACTTTCCAATGATAGAATCTTCTGTAAAAAAAAATTCAAAACAAGTCCAAGCCGTTATGGATTACCAAAGATAGCCCATTTTTATAAATAGCAAAACTATAAATCTATCAAGGATAGATTTTAATTTGTTTTTTAATTTTGTGCTATTAAAAAGTACTATCACTCAAAGTATAGGCAGATGTTAAAGATAATCCAACCTGTCACCTTTTAGAGTAATCAATGAACTCGTCCAGTGATGCATTGACGGCCGTTGTTAAACGCAAAGGAAAGCGCGAGATCGGTTGCGGCTATGGAGCATCACTGAATATTCCTCCACCATATACTGATTTTGAATATACAGACGTTTTGAAGATAAACTTCATTTTTGTTTCTAGAAATGTTTTTATTTACAAAAATAGTACATTTTCGTGTTAGATCGATGATAAACTTCTTTATGACCGCAGCAAGTACTGATACCCAGTCTACTGATCTAAGCGTCACTAGGGAACGGTGCACACACCTATTCTTGCAAGACCAAGTAGCCTAGGTCTACACACGTGCGAAGATCTTTCCGAGCTCGGAAAATCACGTTGCTTTGCCGAGAAGTGTTTAACCATAAAAACCATTCCGTTATTTAAAAAAAGAGAGGAAAAAAAACACACACACAGTTAATGATTAACATTCTAACTCAAAAGAAAATATACGGCAATTAACGAACAATAATCATGACATGTAATATAATTGGTGAAAAGATTTATCATTATCAATCGAAGTGTGACCTATATATTTTCGTGAAAAAGACTGAGGAGGCAGCGAGCGTAGGAATATGAAAACTTTTTATTTGCTTTTCTGGGGAAAAAGTGATTTTCTTAAAATCTTTTAACGTTAATTTTGTTTTCTTTAACGTATTAAATATACATGATTATTCTTAATATTTGTTGTAATGTTTTATCTACTGATCATGAATGGAACTATTTTCTTCGGAGCAATTGTGTGAAGAGTACCTGACTTTAGTAATATATCTTGAATAGATAATATGCACTGATCGAATATATTAAAAAAAGTAAAGGTATGCAGGCTCCGTAATGGCGTCTGCTCAACTCGCTTGTTTACATGGCTTGTTCTTTGAAAATAACGCTGCACCTACCGATTTTTATGCACCGGACGTCTCGGAACACTGATTACTTATTGTAAAAACCATCACATCTTGCAAATAATTCCTAAAACACGAGTTTTAAACACATTTTCAAACTTTTCGTTAACGTGCCTGGAACTAAGTGCAAATACTAAAAACCGATTCAAAACGACAAATTCCGGCCATTCAGACACTGCAAAATTCACAGAACATACATTAGTGCAACTATATATGATAACCGCCTGAATTTTTCAAATTGCTTGACCAAAAACATTTTTTTTAGTAATTATGCTTATTAAACAGATCAAATATTATTAAAAGAATGCTTAATGAAATCAATAATACATGTGCCTATTAAAATTTCACATATGTTGATTAAATATCTCAGAAAGTCACAGTAGCAAGTACAACATCACTTAACACAATTTAGGTAGTCAAATAATTTTCCAGATACTATGGTTTCTTTATCTCTCGTCCCGATCTGGTTCTCTGGATCTGTTCACTGTCAACGGTCAGTTTACTAGGAGGGGAAGCAGATTGCTTCGGTACGACACAAGTATTTGTTATTTCAGTTTTCGGTCGCGCACACAAAGGAATATTCACCGGTGGTATGTCACACTCTTGGGTTGAAATCACATGCGGCTCTCCCTTGGTCTTGAGAAGCATATGTTGTTTCTACGGTGAAGTCGTCCACTTCCTGCCTTCACAACATAAGAACGAGGTTCATCTGACTTTCTGACGAACTCGGCCGGCTTCCATCCTTCCGGACTATGAATACGAAGGGTGTCACTGGAGCACGCGCGCCATGATCATAGTAAAACTTCTGCTTCTGACGATACGCCATCAGCTTCGATGAAACACTTCTGGTTGGATGGTCGTTGGTTTCCTCAGACCATCACTTATGGGGAGTAGCGTTTTCGGTCGTCGACCCATCAATCTCTGCATAGGTGATCCTATCTGCTCATCCCGAGGAGTGTTCCTTAAATCTAAAAGGGCTAGGTACACATCATCTCCTGATTCGCGGCATTTCTTTAGTAAGTTCTTCACTGTTTGCACGGACTTCTCAGCCAAACCATTGGACTGTGCATAAAAGGGTGAAGAGGTCACATGTTCAATCCCATAGCTAGCAACGTAAGGCTTGAATTCAGCACTAGTGTACTGAGAACCATTGTCGCTGATCAAAGTGTCAATGATGCCATATCTGGCAATGTTATCTTTCAGGTGCTTGATAACATTCCTTGAAGTGGTGTCATGTTTTAGTGATGCTACTTCGATGAAGTTAGAATAGTAATCCACCATAATTAAGGGAGCCGAATGGGGTTTTATTGTGTGAAAACTACTATAGAGAAACTCTTTAATTTTATACCACGTGTACCTTACATTGACTCCAGTGTGCATGCCATGTTTAGTGAAAATCTACTGTTTGGTTATTTTTTAGGGACCATCTCAAAATACAGGTACATTTACTATAGGATTATATAGGAAAATACCATTTTTTCGCACTCCGGAGTAAATTATACAAATGCTACTATAGACTTTTTGCTCAAATTATATTATTTGAAGGGTAATACTATACTGTACATTTTATGCAATTAACACAAATTTCTACCGTCTGATTTCCAGAGGGTATCTCAAAATGTCAAAATTCATGACATTTCCTGTTTTTTATGAAGTACAACAAAACATGACAGATACCACAGATTTACATAAAAAAAAAATATGAAAATGATTGTGAGATTCTCAATTTCCCATGTTTAAAATTTCAAGAGCATTTATTTTATACTTTTTATTTAATGACACAATTAATGACTCCGCTTAAAGAACTTCCGAATCGGTTATTCATAACGTAAAAAAAAAACACTATTACGACGTCTATCTACCCATCATTTGAAAAATCGCTTAAAAAATCAGTTATTAGATATTTTTTAACCTGAGATTTCCAAAATTTGTTAATTTTTATGAATTATATAAAAATAGTTGCTTTAAAAGAGTAAATACGCTTTATTTTACTATGCTGCGCGAAGTATTGCGCAATGAAAACCCCAGTCGGCCCCCTTAAGTAGTGAAAGCCATCTAATTCAAACAGATCTGTGGCTACCTTGCTCCATGGTAAGGAAGGTAAGGGGTAATAGGCTCCTTCTGGGGTCTGTTTTGATGAAGTAGACATGTGCTTCAACGGCTCACTACATCCTCTATCTGCTTATTCATTCCGGGCCAATAAACTAGTTCTCTATCTCTAGTTCTCATGATTTTCTGGGTCCCTCATCTCTGTTCAGGGGTAGGCTTCAGTCACTCACCAGTCAATAAATGACCCACATAGTTGACTTCACTCTTAGCTTTGACTCTGTTCAGTTTCAAGTTGATGGACTTGGCCCGTTCAAGTACACTTCGCAAACGGCTGTTGTGTTCATGTTCATCACGGCCATGTATCAGGATGTCGTCCATGACCACTTCGACTCCATCTATACTCCCAAAGTGGTTGATCATTTCTCGTTGAAATACTTCTGCACACTTGAGGCCCATCGGCATGCGTAAGTAACGATATCGGCCAAAGGGGGGGGGGGTGTTAAACGTAGTAAGAAGCGAACTCTTCTTGGAGAGTTTAATCTGGAAGCATCTCATGTTTGCATCCAATGTAGAAAATATCTGGCTTCCATGCACTCTGGAGACTATATCTTCTACAGTGTTCATAGGGAAATGTTTACGTAGCACTGCTTTGTTCAGATCTGTAGGATCTAAGCATATCCTAACACGTCCATTCTTCTTGCGGACACATACCATGCTGCTCACCCAACTGGTTGGCTCTGTTACTGGTGCAATGATGTTACACTTCACTAGATGGTCAAGTTCTTTTTTCGTCATCACGCACTGCTACTGGTCTTGGAGCATGAATAACAGGTTCCACTGAATCATGAACTTTGATATCATATTCCCCTGGTAAGCAGCCAATACTGTCTCCGACCACATCCGAGTATTCCTGAATAAGCTCATTTGTGGATATATATACTGTTCACTGTGTTCACTCGCATAATCAGACCAAAGTGTAAACAGTCAGGTCTTCCTAACAGGCTGATGTGTTTCGGTGTGTCCATAATCTTGAAGCTTACATTTCGCAACATTGTTCCATATTTACAAGGTAATGTTATTTCACCATACACTTTCGTCGGGTTGCCACACACACCATTGATAACTGTGCCACTTTCACGACAGAAGCAATCGAGGTAAATTGTTGAGCTATTGCCTTGGAAATTATGCTACATCTCGCTCCACTGTCGATTTCCAATTCCAATGGAAAGGGTGATCCTTGTATCTCAAAAGTAACAATCCAACCACCATCAGCACTAGACACCATATGAACATTTTCAAATGATTCCTCCATAAATGCTGTGTAGCACTGCTGTACCATGCTCTGATCAAAAATGTCACAGACATCCGGATCTGGTTCCTGACAGGCAGAGTAGTGCACACTGTGACGTTGTGGGGGTCTGCTAGTTTCACGGCCACGTCCAAATCTCCATCCACGTCCACGGCGTGAATTTCTTCGATATTGTTGAGAACGTCCTTTACACAGTGGTGATGCTTTGAAGTGTCCTTTCAAGCCACACTCATTACAAGGTTTGTTGAATGCTGGGCATTGTCGAAAAGCATGATGCTTCGTGCACTTTTCACAATAGGGGTACTTCCCTTGATATCCAGATTTCTGCTTTGGCTTGGACGTGCTAGCATAGTTGACTGTTGGATTTTCTGTGAGTGTATCAAGATGAGCTTTCGTTCTTTGAGTGTATCAAGATGAGCTTTCGTGAGTTCCACTTGTCTGCATGTCTGAATAGCTTTGTCTAAAGTCATTTCTGCTGTCGGAATTTCCATAAGTTTTTCAGTACACTTTCTGTCATTCACACCATTTATGATCATGTCACAAATAAATCCTTCACGCTGATCTCCATATTCACAGAACTCTGCCTTCTTCTTAAGTTCAGACATGTTATCCATAATGGTTTTGTTGACTCGTTTGGTGTTCAGAAATTCCTGTCTTTTAATGTTTCTGTTATTATGTACGGAACAATTGTGATTTTCCTTCCATATTTTTATAGGGGATATGCAACAATTTTCATAGAGGATATGCAACATTCGTGATTTTTGTGCCATTTTTAGCCTCACCTGAGCCAAAGGCTCAAGTAAGATTTTCTGATCAAAATTTGTCCGTTCTCTGTCGTTGTCGTGAACTTTTCACATTTTCATCCTCTTCACAAGAATCAGTGGGCCAATTTCAACCAAACTTGCCACAAAGTATCCTTGGGTAAAGGGGATTCAAATTTGTTCAAATGAAGGACCACGCCTTCTTCGAAGGGGAGGTAATTATGAATTAATGAAAAATTAATGGCATCATTAAAAAATCTCCTTCTCAAGAACCACTGTGCTTGAAAATATGAAACTTATATGGAAGCATCCTCTGGTAGTGTAGATTCAAGTTTGTTCAAATCATTGGGTAGGGTGAGGCCACAATGGGCTATCAAAGTTTCACATAGGAATATATAGAAAAAAATATTTAAAAATCTTCTCAAGAACAGCAAAGCCATGATTGGTCATATTTACATGGAAGCATCCTCAGGTAGTGCAGATTCAAATTTTGTTCAAATCATGACCCCCAGGAGAATAGAGGTGCCATAATATGGGGTCATAGTTATACAAAGGAATACAAATGATATATCAATAAAAATTATCTTCTTAAGAACAGCAAAGCCATTATTTGTCAAATTAATTCAAAAGCATCCCTATGAAGTATAGATTCAAGTTAGTTCAAATCAACACCCCACCCCCACACCTTGAACCACTTTAATATGAAAACTTTTCAAGACTGAACTGATTTTTGCTTTTTCCTAGCCAGAGTGCTCAGATGAGCGATGTGGCCCCTGGGCCTCTTGTTGTGAGGGTATGAAACACTCGTGATTTTCGTGCCATTTTTTTTTATTATAACAAGGATGACATAGAAACTCAAACTTAGACTCAAACAACACATCCCTTAATAGTACACAAATGTTCCTCTTCAAAATAAACCCTTTTCAGCTACCTTAATAGTACACAAATGTTCCTCTTCAAAATAAACCCTTTTCAGCTACCTTACATTTTCATGTTCGTTGCTGAAAGCTGGGCCCTTAGAGATGGCTTCCATCTTAATGATATCTAGTTATTTATAATTTTAAATGTGTTAACGTGTTTCCAAGTCTTTACTCCAATTGTCAGTATACAAAATAGATCGTTGGATACCGATCCCAATGTATTTTCATGGTATTTAAATATCAGTTTGTTTGGTAAATCGTACAGTTCCAATGCATAGTAAATTGAGCTCATAAACATGTATAAATGCTAATAACATAAGTTAAATTGAACTGTCCAAGGTATTTTTTTAGCTAAGTAGGTCAAAGGTCAAGGCCTAGTGTATTACAATGCTGGAATTTTTCATAATGTGGTCTAACAATCAGTGCAGATGCTGAATAGCATAGACTTTACCTCTTTAATGTCAAAAAATATGCTGTATATTGGTACTTTTAACTATTTTTTAAAGTAGGTCAAGGGTTAGTAAAAGTAGTTCGGTAACCATAGCAATGCACAATGCCAAACAATTTATGTGCAAATTATCAAATCCATCTCTTACAGTTCTTGAGATGCAAGATGTGATAGACGGACAGACAGACAAATGACGGGTAAAGTGGTCCCCAAGTGTCGCTCTGCTCTGCAGACGACACAAAATGAGGGGAAATTTAAGAAAATAAATAGATCATAAATGACACTTTTCCCTTTTATCATTTAACATCGGGTTTCGGTAATCTATAGAGTTAAAAAGGTTAAGCACAATGCGCGAAAAAGATTTTTTTGCGATTTAGGGGCCAATTTTTCTCTCCTATTCCTTTCTCTCCCTCTTTTTTCCCTCTCTTGTTAGCCATTGTAATGCCTCCCTTCGAAGAATGCAGGACATATTCCTTTGCTGTTGTCTGTCGTTCGGTCGGTCCACCAACAAGTTTCCGTTCATTTTCTTCGCAGAGGTTGCACATACTGAAATGAAATTCGGTATACAGATTTATCATAAAAATATCTAGGTCAGGTTCCGTTTTGGGTACAATCGAGCAATTTTTGACAGAGTTATACCCCTAGGACTTGACAGAGTTATACCCCTAGGACTTAGAAAAATTCCAATTATTTGCAGTTTTCGTTCATTTTCTTCGCAGAGGTTGCACATACTATAATAAAAATTTAGTTACAGATTTATCATAAGAATATATAGATCAATTTCTGTTTTGGGT